CACCTACCCAGGCGCTACCCTCAGGGTCTAACACACAGGTCATCCATGGAATGGAGAGATGTCTTCAAATGCCAGTACCACATAGTTGCCCAGATAAGTCAGACAGGGTCTCTTCACACTGAGAGCTTGTATATAACTGAAGAAAGCAGACATGTAAATCTGAAGTCTTTGTAGTAGCTCATGTCCTCCTGTCTCCAGCTGGGCTGCTCCCACAGGCTGTGTGTGTGTGTGGTGGAGTGCAGAGATGAGACCAGGGGAGTAGAGATGAAGAAAGTAAGACAGGAGAGGGGCCTGTCTGCGCTGAGTTTGTGGAGGCAGCAGTACGGTCTTGCCAAGTAAAAAGTATAAGTTGTAGGAATACTGGGTGTGACTATGAGGTGAAAGACACTTATAAAACATCTTTGACAAGGTGGTGGTATAGCTCGGGGGAAGAACATTTGACTGCAGATCAAGAGGTCTCTAGTTCAAATCTAGGTGCCCCCTGCCATAAGCTTATTTGTTTGCATTTTATTTATTTATCTATCTATTTATTTATCTATTTATTAAAAATTTCCACCTCCTCCCCAACTCCCTTTCCCTCCCCCTCTTTACCTTCCCCTCCCTCTCTACTCCTAAGAGCAGTCAGGGTTCCCTGCCCCGTGGGAAGTCCAGATCATTCCCCCTCCGTCCAAAACTATAAAGGTGAGCATCCAAACAAACCAGACTCCCACAAAGTCAGGCCATGCAGTAGAATCAAAACCCAGTGCCATTGTCCTTGGCTTCTCAATCAGCATTCATTGCCAGCCACATTCAGAGTGTCAAGTTAGATCACATGCTCCATCACTCCCAGGCCAGCTGGACTTGGTGAGCTCCCATTAGATCAGTCCCACCGTCTCAGTGGGTGGACGTACCCCTCATGGTCCTGACTTCCTTGCTCACGTTCTCCCTCCTTCTGGTCCTCATTTGGACCTTGGAGCTAAGTCTGGTGCTCCAATGTGGAGCTCTGTCTCTATCTCCGTCCATTGCCAGATGAAGGTTCTATGGTGATATGCAAGATATTCATCAGTGTGGCTAAGGGACAAGGCCAGTTCAGGCACCCTCTCCTCTGCTGCCCAATGAAAAATCTGGGGACCTCTCCTTGGACCTGGGAAACCCTCTAGAGTCAAGTCTCTTGTAAATCCTAAAATGGTACCCTTGATTAAGATATTTACTACCTTGCTCCCATAACTACCCTTCCTGCATCCCACCCATTCCATTCCCCCAAACTCTCCCAAATCCTCCTCTTCTCCCTTCTCTCTACCTATCTCCCCTTACATTCACCCCCCCACTCCCATGCACCCAAGTTTTGCCTGGCAATCTTGTCTACTTCCAATATCCAGGAGGATAACTATATGATTTTCTTTAGGTTCATCTTCTTATTTAGCTTCTCTAGGATCACGAATTATAGGCTCAATGTCCTTTAATTATGGTTAGAATCCACTTATGAGTGAGTACATACCATATTCCTCTTTTTGGGTCTGGGTTACCTGACTCAGTAAAGTGTTTTCTATTTCCATCCATTTGCAGGCAAAATTCAAGATGTCATTGTTTTTCACCGCTGAGTAAAACTCCAATGTGTATATGTTCCACACCTTTTTTAACCATTCTTCTATTGAGGGACACCTGGGTTCTTTCCAGGTTCTGGCTATTACAAATAGTGCTGCTATGAACATAGTTGAACAAATGCTTTTGTAGTGTAATAGGGCATCTCTTGGGTATATTCCCAAGAGTGGAATTGCTGGGTCCTGAGGGAGGTTGACTCCCAGCTTCCTGAGAAACTGCCACACTGATTTCCACAGTGGCTGCACAAGTTTGCATTCCCACCAACAATGGATGAGTGTTCCCCTCATTCCACATCCTCTCCAGCATATGCTATCATTGATGTTTTTGAGTTTAGCTATTCTGACAGGTGTAAGATGGTATCTCACAGTGGTTTTGATTTGCATTTCCCTGATCACTAAGGAAGCTGAGCATGACCTTAAGTGTCTTTTGGCCATTCGAAGTTCTTCTGTTGAGAATTCACTGTTCAGTTCAGTACCCCATTTTTTAATTGGGTTAATTAGAGTTTTAGTGTCTAGTTTCTTGAGTTCTTTGTATATTTTGGAGATCAGACCCTTTTCTGATGAGGGGTTGGTGAAAATCTTCTCCCAATCAGTAGGCTGCCTTTTTGTCTTAATGACAGTGTCCTTTGCTTTACAGAAGCTTCTCAGTTTCTGGAGGTCCCACTTATTCATTGTTGCTCTTATTGTCTGTGCTACTAGGGTTCTACCTAGGAAGTGGTCTCCTGTGCCCATGTCTTGTAGACTACTTCCCACTTTCTTTTCTATCATGTTCAGTGTGGTCAGATTAATATTGAGGTCTTTAATTCATTTGGACTTGAGTTTTGTGCATGGTGATAGATATATATCTATTTTCATTCTTCTACAGGTTGACATCCAGTTATGCCAGCACCATTTGTTAAAGATGATTTCTTTCTTTCATTGTATAGTTTTAGCTCCTTTGTCGAAAATCATGTGTTCATAGGTTTGTGGATTAAGATCTGGGTCTTTGATTCGATTCCATTGGTCAACATCTCTGTTTTTGTGCCAATACCAAGCAGTTTTCAATACTGTAGCACTGTAATAGAGTTTGAAGTCAGGAATGGTAATGCCTCTGGAAGTACTTTTATTGTATAGGATTGTTTTGGCTATCCTGAGTTTTTTGTTTTGCCATATAAACTTGATTATTGTTCTCTTAAGGTCTGTTAAGAATTTTGTTGGGATTTTGATGGGGATTGCATTGAATCTATAGATTGCTTTTTAATAGAATTGCCATTTTTATTATGTTGCTCCTCCAAATTCAAGAGCATGGAAGATTCTTCTATTTTGTGGTATCCTCTTCAATTTCTTTCTTCAAAGACTTAAAGTTCTTGTCAAATAGATCTTTCACTTTCTTGATTAGAGTTATCCCAAGATACTTTATGTTATTTGTGGCTATCGTGAAAGGTGATTGCTAGAACTTCAAGCACTATATTAAAGAGGTATGGAGAGAGTGGACAGCCTTATCTTGTTCCTGATTTTAGTGGGATGGCTTTGAGTTTCTCTCCATTTAATTTAATGTTAGCTGTCGGCTTGCTGTATATTGCTTTTATTATATTTAGGAATGAACCTTGTATTCCTAATCTCTCCAAGACCTTTATCCTCAAGGGGTGTTGAATTTTGTCAAATGCTTTTTCAGCATCTAATGAAATGATCATATGGTTTTTTCTTCAGTTTATTTATATGATGGATTACATTGACAGATTTTCGTATGTTGAACCAGCCCTGCCTCTTTGGGATGAAGCCCACTTCATCATAATGTATAATTTTTTGGATGTGTTCTTGGATTCTGTTTGCCAGTATTTTATTGTGAATTTTTGCATCGATGTTCATGAGTGAGATTGGTCTGTAATTCTCTTTCTTGGTTAAGTCTTTGTGTGATTTTGTTATCCGGGCAGCATAAAGCCAGGTGTTGACCACACAGCACTAGGATGATGAAGTAAGAGGTTTGTCATTGTCTGAGTACAATTGGAGTATATAATGAGATCCTGGCTCATAGAAGAGGGGAAGGAGAACAATATAAAGAATATCTCCATAAAAATATCTTCTGTTTTTTTCCTCACTTCATAAAATGATTAATAGGACAACATGGTTTATTGGCTCATTTATACATATTTTCCACTTCTTTCCAGTGTGTTGAAGTTTGACATGTACAAACAAGTCATGTAAATTTTTTCTGTTGAAAAATTTCATGACTGAAACAGTGATATTTTTTAGTTAATGCAATCTTTATAATTCAATGCAAGCTCTTTCCAAACTAGGCTCTCTATATGATTACAGTTACATACCAAACATTAAAGAGGATAATCATTCTGTATATTGAAAACAAACATTTTTGCTCAATTTTCTTTTGCTTTAGATCTGAGTATTTTTGACAAGATCCCCTATTGGTCCCATATTGATCTCAAACAAACTATCTCTTTCTGTCACCTTCAGATATTCTGAAGTTGCAGACATGTGTGTTGGCCCTACTGAACATTTGGTGTTATGATGAATTTTGTAAAACTCTGCCTTATATTTCCGTGGTTGTCATATCTACCACAGAGCTATCATAAATCAATCCATATATCTACTATCTATCTGCCATCTAACTATGGTCTGTATCTCTATATTTATATAGAATGTGTCATGTTTTATAACATCAAGGAGATATTATATGATATTATTGAGAAAAGGGATATTGGATATATTGAGATATTGATGCTTTTTCTATCTTCAATCCATTAACAGCAAAAGAAGCCTGCTTTTGGATTACAAATATGATATATATATATATATATATATATATATGCAGTCTATAAATGTTTGATGAATGCAATCAAGCACAATTAAAATACCCAGTCTATCTTTTCATATCTAACAATGAGCTTATCAATGGCTTCTCAGTCAGCCCCCATTGTCAGCCACAGTCAAGAGTCCGATTTGATCACATGCTCATTCAGACCCTGTCCAGCTGGATTTGGTGAGCTCCCATTAGAACAGGCACACTGCTTCAGTTGGTGGACTAACCCCTCAGAGTCCTTACTTCCTTGCTCATCTTCTCCCTCCTTCTGCCTAGTCTATATGGATGCACAGCTCCCTAGACCTGGATGTAGCAGGGAGGGCCTTGGACTTCCCACCTTACAGGATTCCTGGCCCTCCCTCAAGCAGGACAGGAGAGGGAGGAAGGGGTGTGGGGGAGCGGGAAGGGATTGGGAGGAGGGAAGAAAGTGTAAATAATTGAATGGAAAAATAAAAATTAAAAAAAGAACAATGAGTTTATACTCACAAATCAAATTTTTTTTAAATTTTAAATTATGTCAATTATATTAGTGTTGTATATGAAATATCTGTCCGTTGATAGTACAGGGCAGCTATTGTTAATATTGGTGTTTCTACTCTGAGCAGGTTTTCTGAAAGGCCACAATGGGGAATCACAACCTTACCGTGGTGACAGAATTCATCCTAATGGGCATCACAGACCACACTGAACTTCAGGCCCCATTGTTTGGGCTCTTCCTCATCATCTATCTGATCTCACTGATGGGCAACCTGGGCATGATCATCCTCACCACAGTGGACCCAAGGCTACAAACACCCATGTACTTCTTTCTCAAACATCTGGCTATTACAGATCTGGGTTATTCTACATCTGTTGGACCCAAAATGTTAGTAAATTTTGTTGTCGATCAAAATACAATATCATTTAACCTTTGTGCTACACAGCTTGCTTTTTTTCTTGTGTTCATCGTTAGTGAACTTTTTATTCTGTCTGCAATGTCCTATGACCGCTACGTGGCCATCTGTAAGCCTCTGCTCTACACTGTCATCATGTCACAAAGGGTGTGTTGGGTACTAGTGGCAATTCCTTATCTCTATTGCTCATTTGTTTCTCTTCTAGTTACAATTAAGATTTTCTCTTTGTCTTTCTGTGGCTACAATGTTATCAGTCATTTCTACTGTGACAGTCTTCCGTTGTTACCTCTGCTGTGCGCAGATACACATGAAGTTGAACTGATCATTCTAATTTTAGCAGCCTTTGATTTGATTTCTTCTCTTCTGGTTGTCCTTGTGTCCTACCTGCTCATCCTCATAACTATTCTGAGAATGAACTCTGCTGAGGGCAGACAGAAGGCTTTCTCCACCTGTGGGTCCCACCTGACAGTGGTCATCGTCTTCTATGGAACTTTGATATTTATGTATGTGCAGCCCAATTCTAGCCACTCCTTTGACACAGATAAAGTGGCTTCCATATTTTATACCATGGTCATTCCCATGTTGAATCCCTTGATCTACAGTTTGAGGAACAAAGATGTAAAATATGCACTGCAAAGGACATTGAATAATTTGTGCAAATTATTTTCTTTTGGTTTTCATAAAATATAAATTTTCCTAATGAAATGCATTCAAAAGACATCAAAAACAAATTGTTGCTATATTAATTTGTAAATGTCTTATTTTATATTATTTTTAGCTGTTATAGATAGAGTAATAGTGAAAAACTGAAAGATTAAATAAAACTTTTCCACAATAAGTTGATTTTAAACAAAAGTGGAGAGAATACACACCAGAAATCTCTCCTCTAAACAGATGCAAGTGCACGTGTACACATGCAAACATACACGCACACACAAATATACATATATACATCAGCAATAAGGAGAGAGATATGATGAGGAAGCATGGAAGATAATGAGAATTTCAGAAAGAAAATGACTAAGTTCCTTGTGTGTTTATCATTTGTTGAATTAAAGCCCAAAGTAGCTGATCTATTTGATCATTTTGTCCATGTAAGTGCTTTATCTCAGACTTAACCTTTACTTCTTAATATAATAGTTTTCATTTATATTCCATAATGTTACCTCTGCTGGAGCACCCTGAGCCAGAGACCTCTGCATTTGTTTACAGGAAATAAAATTCTTATTACTTTGCTGAAATAATGACTACCCTAAACACTATTAATAAGCAATAATTTTTTCCACAAAAAAGTAAGCTCGATCGGTGAGAAAGTCTTCATATTTTCTACTTGAACTCGAGTAGTTTTATATGAACGTCAGTCACCCAGAAAATTATTTAGCAATGAGAATCACAATAACACATTTCTGGGAGTGCTGGCCTATACTGCTGTCCCAGCACTCGGCAGTCTGTTGCAGCAGGACTTCATTCTAAAGACAAATGTAGGTAACATAGGAGGTCTTAATTAGACTGTTATCAGATGAAGGTTCTATGATGACAATCTATCTGATTACAGGGGATCAATCCATGCATGCTCTTCACTATTGCTAGGAGTCTTATTTGGGATCATTCTTATGGATTCCTAGGAATTTTCCTTGTACAAGGTTGCACCCTAGCCCCATAATGGCCCCTTCTATCAAGATACCTCTTTTCATTGCTCGCCCTCTCCACTCTACCCCCAACCTGAACACCCATATCTCTCTTTTTTAAAAGAAATATAATTCTACCAGCAAAATTAATATGAATCCAACAAAACTTATATAATTAAAAATACATAGAGGTGCAACCAAATCAGTTTTTCTGAAAATCAACCATATATTAAATATGTTATAAAGATGTGTCATGATTGACCAATTTTTACTATGGATATCTTATTATAAACAATATATTACACAAGAAGTTTTCCATATCATATCATATTAATGTATAAGAATTAAATGTATTGTTCCTTTTATTTGTAGGTAGTGAAAGGATAGTGCAATGAATAATTCTATTGTCTCAGATGCTAATAAAGTTCTATTTGTGATTTTTAATGTTTAATGATATTGTTTGTTTCATATATTCCACTAGACTAACACAAGGAGTATTTTATTGTTCTTATACAATTAATAGATGAACAAGACACTCTGCCTCCCTCAGGAAATCATGTGCAATTTGTTTACCCACCTGCATTTGAGCTTCAATACAGTGAATCTCTTGGGACTAGAAATGAAAAGTTATATAATTGAAAGTACATTAAATCTGTTCATTTACAAACTAAGAAGATCAAAACTGGATTGCTAAGCAGGGTCTCCACACAGGTAAGAAGGAACAGTGGGCTTTGAAAGTTTTTAAGAAGCATACTTAAACTGAGCTATTACCAAAAACCTAAATATTAATAGTATTAATAACCAGGATAGGCCTTTTCTGCAGTCAATAATGGTCTGTGTTCATTATTCACAATGCTCATGTTAAGATGACTATCTTGCTCCTCAGTCATTCATTTAACCAGACCCTTTTCCTATGTGATATCATCTCTGTCTCATATCTACTAATTACTCAGGATGCCCTTCCTGGAGAGGCAGAATGAGACAGGGTTTTTGAGACTATATTCATATGTTGCATGAAGTATTTGAATCTTGACTTTACCATGTGTATTTGAGTGACCCTTTACTAAGTATTGCAGCCCTCTGAGTCACAGCTTACTTGTGTCCTGTAGGAGTAGAGAAGACATAACTACCTACTTCCTAGTGTACTGTGAGGATCACATGAGTTCAGGTCAGCAAAGAGCTTGGGAGTATACTCAGCACACAATATTTTTCCTATTTCTCTTGGAACTTATATTCTTTCCACTGGGCCTCTTTTCATAATTCTTCACAAGTGTGTAAGAACTGTCGGGATATTCCATCAGAACTTTGTTTTCACAGAAGAGAGATGTATGGTTCAGAGATCATTAGAAATTGTGATTCATCATGAAGAACAAAGAAGTGGCAGAAAATCAGATTGTTGGGAGATTTGAAATGAGTCTTGAGAATTAAGTATTGAACTTTAGTGAAAAAGCTGAGATGTACTAAAACTTTTATCCTTAGCTAAAGATTTATGCAATATATTATAAACATAGTTTCTAAAGTAGACTTATTGCTTCTTTAAACATATGCTTGACTTAATAAGAAGGAAATAAAGATTTACAAATACACACAAAAAATAGGTACACACATGTGTGTGTGATTGTGTGTGTGCTTTAAAACTTGAAATATTAAATGAAGAAATAAAATAAGAAACTTTTGTACATAATTTTAAAACATTGGCAACAGACTAAGTAGTTATTAGTTCTTTTATCAAAATGACTTTACTGCTGAAAATGATGGCACACGCCTGTAATCCCAGCTCTCATTGGGTAGAAGAAATAGGGTCAGAAGCTACAGAAGACTTTCTTGATGTAGAGACATTAAGAACACAAATTCCAGGTCACCCTGGGCTACATAGAAAGACCAAGTCTCAAAACAAAGAACTATATCTTTTTCCTTGCTCTCATGTCTGCCCTTCCTCCATCTCAACTATCCCATTCCCTCAAGTTCTCCTCAAACCTCCCCTCTTCCCTCCTCTGCCCTTTCTACCCTCCCCTATTCCCCACCCCCATGCTCCCAATTTTATCAGGCAATCTTGTCTGTTTCCAAGGTGGATCTGCATATGTTTTTCTTTGTGCTCACCTTATTTCTTCGCTTCCCTGGGATCAGGAATTATAGGTTAAATGTCCTTTGTTTATAGCTAGTATCCAGTTATGAGTGAGAACATACCATATTCATCTTTTTGGGTCTAGGTTACCTCATTCAGGATAGTGTTTTCTAATTCCATCCATTTGCATGCAAAATTCAAGATGTCATTGTTTTTTTTTCCACTGAATAGTACTCTAATGTATAAATGTGCCACAATTTATTTATCCATTCTTCATTTGAGGTGCATCTAAGTTGTTTTCAGATTCTGGCTATTACAAATAATGCTGCTATGAACATAGTTGAATAAATGCTTTTGTAGTACGATTGAGCGTCTTTTAGGTATATACCCGAGTGGTATTCCTGGATCCTGAGGTAGGTTGATTCCCAATTTTCTGAGAAACTACCATACTGATTTCCAAAGTGTTTGCACAAGTTTTCATTCCCACCAGCAATGGATGAGTGTTTGCCTTACTCCACATCCTCTCCACCATAAGCTGTCATTGGTGTTTTTGATCTTGGCCATTTTGACAGGTGTAAGATTGTATCTCAGAGTTGTTTTAATTTGCTGTTCCCTGATGGCTAAAGATGTTGAATATTTCCTTAAGTATCTTTTGACCATTTGAGATTCTTCTGTTGAGAATTTTCTATTTAGTTCTGTACTACAATTTTTAATTGCATTATTTAGAATTTTAATGTCTAATTTCTTAAGTTCTTTATATATTTTGGAGATCAGTCCTTTGTCTGATGTGGGGTTGGTGAAATCTTTTCCCATTCAGTAGGCTGCCTTTTGTCTTATTGAACATGACCTTTGCTTTACAGAAGCTTCTCAGATCCAGGACGTCCCATTTATTTATTGTTGCTGTGTCTGTGTGTGATACTGGGGTTATATTTAGGAAATGGTCTCCTACGTCCATGCATTGAAGAATACATCCCACTTTTTCTTCCATCAGATTCAATGTGGTCAGATTTATATTGATGTCTTTAATCCATTTGGACTTGAGTTTTGTGCATGGCAATACATATGGATCTAATTCAGTGTTCTATATGGTGACATCTAGTTATGCAAGCACCATTTGTTGAAGATACTTTCTTTTTTCCGTTGTTTAATTTTAGCTTCTTTTTCAAAAATCATGTGGTTGACAGTTGAATTGTTGAGGCAGACTGATGGTCCACTGTGGCACCAGAATTTATTCCTACTGCATGTTCAGGTTTTTTGGGATCCTATTCTTTTTGGATGTATACCTGCTCAGCCTAGATATAGTAGGGAGGACCTTGGACCATCCCCAAAACAATGTACCTTATGATTTCTGAGGATTGGATGGGGGTGGGGCATGTGGAAGGAATGAGAAGAGGGAGGGGATGGAAACTTGAATTGGTATGTTTTAAAAATCTAATAAATAAATAAATAACAGAGAATAAAACAAGGAAACAAAATGAAGACCATTCTAATATTTTTATTATTCTGCTCTTTTAAAGTCCACGGTATCATAATTTTGTGGAACACAAATATTGTTTTATATATTTCTGAGCTGGAGCAGGACTGGTGATTTCATATGAAAAAAAAGCCTATCTTATATGCATGTTCTTGACGTACTATTTCAAAAATAACTTATATTAAACTTACTCCCTAAACAGGTTGTCGCTGTTAAGCCCAATGGGGAAACTCAACCACACTGCAAAGATCCAAGTTACTGAGTTTATTCTCCTGGGACTCACCTCCAGCCCCGGCCTGAAGGCACCACTCTTTGGAATATTTTTAATCATATACTTGGTCACCCTGGTGGGCAATCTGGGCATGGTTATTCTGACTCATTTGGACCCTAAACTACACACTCCTATGTACTTTTTCCTGAGACATTTATCGATCACTGATCTTGGTTACTCCACAGTTATTGGTCCCAAAATGATGGTAAATTTTCTTATGCAGCAAAATACCATTTCCTATGCTGGGTGTGC